TTTTCTGGATACAATCCCATTCGAACTTATAGTAAAGTGATGACAATGAATATATATATATATATATAAATATATACCCCATCTTTACGACACTTAATATCTAAATATTTCGTTTTAATGCGTTATTATAAATCGGGTTTTCTAAATTTTAGTTGTTTTAAAAACAGTTTTACTTAACTGATGAATGCTATTTCCATCTGTATACTTTTCACTCCCGCAACCAAGCTGTATAAGATTGGTACCAAAAATGATTGTTTGGTTTGTATTTTGCGCAAAGACAAGAGGGCTATCTGCAGTAGCCTTCCCTAATTTAGCAATGATAGAATAGCCAACACTAGGCAGCTAGCCAACACCACCAACCACCATTTATTTGGCTACTCTTTCACCAATCAATAATGGGATTGACCGACACTTTATAGCCCCCCCCAAGACTGAAAGGGTGACAAGGGTTTGAAAACTGCGAGTCGATCGCCCTAACTACCAGTCCACGCCAAGCCTCTGTATTGTATGAAACTCTTGATAAACTTGTTTGTAGTTATTCACTTTAACTCGTGACTGACAAACTGAAAAATGCTGTTACCTTCGACGAGTCTTGGCAACAATTTGGCCCAGTTGTTTGAAATACGTCAGTGCGTAGACAACAACTGGTTCAAACTCGTCAACTTTTATGGGTAGGAAACTGTTGAGGTAGGTTAGCCATGAAATCTAGAAAGAAAGAAAAAAGGAATGGGAGTGGGTCTTCAAATACTCTGTTACAAAAATGCTCATTTCATTTGGGATATAATCTTTAACATTTTATTTTTGTTGTATCTGCAATGTATGATAAGATTACATTAGTTGACGTGTAATACAGTTTTTTCTAAAATACAATTTGATAAAAGCATTTATGAACAAACTAATAATACCGTGGAAAATGTAGTTTATTAGTTTCAAGATAATTCCCCATTTGAATATTTTCATTATTGTCAATATTCGTATGAGAGGGCATTGAACTAAACCATTGACGGAGATGACTATCGGTGTGCTGCCAAATCCCATGTTGTCTAAATCTTATTCAAATGACATTCATTTGAATGGGTATGACTAAACAAGATCCAAAAACTGAGTATTCTGAAACAATAACATAGGGTAACAATACTTCTAAAGAAGCATAAAATATTTTCCCCTTGAGTAAATTGACCAGGTTGATAGATTAGTTCATTTACTTCCAATGTCTCTACATGATAAAAACAAAGATAATATTTCGCACATGGTGATGACAAATAGAGTCGGATTTGGCAGCACGCCAGCTTAGTTTCAAATGACCATAACTAGAGAGTACTTTCAAGAAAGAATACAATTTATTCAACAGTGTTCTTCAGTTCTACTCTAAAGCTTTTGATAATAGTATAATCAAATATTTTTTACGAGAAAGCACATGTGAAGCACAAAAGTGACTCAGAACAACAGGTAACTAGAGCGAAAGGAACTTATTCACATTCCTTGAGTAAGATTCTACTTTAACATTTTAATTTTAAGTAAACGTGAAACACTCATCTTATTAAACTAAAGGAGACAAGAAACACTAAATGTATTTTTCGTAACACGTTACTTACCTGAGGAACGAGTTCATTCAGTTCCTTAACTGTCATCTTATTATACATGACGCCAGCATCATGACGATCTGCTTTAGGTATTGAAGCCTTCAATAAAGAAAACATTTTCAGTGTTACTGCAATTTTTTTTCAATATGAAGTCCAGTAATAAAAATTTATTTAGATCCTTCGAGACACTTACGTATTTCTAGTCTGTATTTTTGTATTTCTAAAAATTACTTACGTTGGCCAATTGAATTTCGAAATTCAAAACTTCTTCCATTTCTGTTTTGACATACTCTCGTTCTGCTCCAAATAGCACAGCGACATCTATCATCAATTTAAGGTAAGCCTTTCTCTCACGCTCACTACTTCTTTTCAGGTAGTATTCTCGACTTGGAAGGCCAAGTGGCATTTGATCTAACTGTAATATAAAAACCAAAGCGATTTTACTTGAAAAATGGACAAACAAACTGAAGGTTATATAGTTTATGAACATTATATCATCACGAGGTGACACTATATCTATAGTCTGTACTTGAGGTAGTTTAGTAATTAGTACTGTCTCTTCGCCTCCCATTCCTAATTTTTGGGTTCAGTGACGTTAATTAGACACGAATTACAATACTTTTACAAAGTAAAGAAATATTCTAACAACAAAACCATTATTTCATAGTAGTTGTGGTTCTACGTTTCAATTATTTCTTTACCGTGCTCTAACTAGGATAAATTATTATACTTCTTTCATATAACATTTAGATTTGGTGGACTTTATATGTTCATGATCACCATAAATTTATATTTCTTTCATTATCACGTTTAAACTGATTTGATAATTCTTAAGATCATTATTAAATGCAAGATTCCAAGTCATTGGTTTATACACCAGACGTCCTCCGGTGGGACAGCGGTAAGTCTACGGACTTACAACGCTTAAATCTGGGGTTCGATTCCCCGCGGTGGACACAGCAGATAGCCTAATGTGGCTTTGCTGTACAAAACAAGCAAAGAAACAAACCAATGTAGAGAAGTATATACTGTATTATGGACCCTAGCATTACCACAAACCTTATTTAACAGACATGTACAAACTCAACCTAAGATCAAATGTGCCTTCATAACTGTGTTGTTTTCTTTGATGAGCTTATAACTTGAAAGATCACGCTGTTATATATGGCGGTATCATGGTTTGAAGAAATTTCACGTTTAATGATGATTCAAATAAAATTTTAAACAAATAGTTGTTGTTTAATTTGTTGTGTTGTGTTGTTAGTGCAGAGCTACAGAATGGGATACCTGCACTGTGTTCACAGCGAGGAATCGAGCCCCAGAGTTTAGCGTTGTAAATTCATAAAATTATCACTGACCCCTCCGACGGACTTAAAAATAACGCAATATAACATATGAGATATATAAATAGGTAAACAGTAGAGTGTCATAACTGGATTTGGCACATACATGAATAAAATGACATCAGGTTGTACAAATCATGTAATCATACAGAAAAAAAACTGTTTCGAAAACAAGAAAATACAAATCATTAGAAATGATTTGAAAAAATTCTTCTTTCAAAAAGAAAAAAACTCCTTGTAAAATAGTTTGATACAAATAGACCCAAATAAAATAAATCCTCAGTATTACCGACAGTTGCAATTGAGTTATTATTGCATAATCCATGGGTAACGTATGATGATGACGGGAATGAAATTAGTAGCCGAAGCTTTGACCATTAAATCAAACCTACAATTAAAGTTTGTTATGTGAAATTTAATAAGTTGTTAATGTGTTAGCAAATTCAGACCACTGATATCTGAATATTGCAAATCGAGGTTTCAGTTTTTACCAGCAAGGTTAAGCCTAACATGTAACAAATACTGAAGGTTAGAACAGGCAAGAGTGCTTTTTTTGTTGTTGTTGTTGTTTTTTTTGGGGGGGGGACAAATATTTTGGACTGCAAGAGTCACCAGAGTCGACTTTGAGGATTATATGAGTCATATAAGTAATATGTCGTCAGAATAAGAATGAATTATACTTTTGACTGATGTAGTTCAATGTTGCGTACAGTACAGGACTGATACATGATCTTCCAAAACATAAGCCCCAAACATCGAAATCAAAGTTTTGACTTTACTACATAACCTGTAGTAGTATAAGTAAAGGCTTAAGATTGCGTTTTCAGTAATTTTATGCACAAGTCGTAGACGTTTAATAACATACAAAAATCGGATCAAATGAAAGAGACTTTATGGAGGGATGGCAATATTTGGGTGTACGAAAATTTCCCGACTTGACTTTTGGAATTATATGGACCAAAAACAATAAGTATCGCTTGAGTATTAACTACGGTCTTGATTGAAAGAACTTGTTGCTGTGTTGATTTAATAAGATGTTACAAATCTACTGTTCATCAGCAATAGTTTCGTTGTTTTTTAAAAATAATTATGTAGTTCATAAGGCCGACGTCAGAAACTATAGTTTCCTACTTGCGTCATGTAGTCTTCTTCGGATATTACTACAGAAAGTTAGTGCAAGCTCGTCTACTGCAGTCGTCAACGTAACGTCGCTAGTCCTTCTCGAACATTCGCCAGCATTCGATTTTCAGTTACATTTGATCACGCGTAGTAATTTGGACTGTGCTAGATTTTTGTCACTATAGATTGGAGTAAATTAATTTGCAGTTATTTGCACAACTTTAAACAACGATACGTGTGGCCACAGGGCAGCTAACAATGAAATTTGTTTTTGAGATCTTAAAGCAAAACTTCCCAATGGTTTAGAACTGAAATAAATCAGTTATTTAATTTTTTATTTCCTTCTACAAAAAAAGTATAACAAAAAGATATTCCTTCTGTCAATATTGACACTTCTTGCTGCTTCCGATAAATTCTGTCAAAATGGACAAAAATTATATATTGAGCCAAACTTTTGCAATAGCTTGAAGACTTTGAAAACCGTAAGTATCCCCAAACTTCAGTTCCGAAGATATTTTTCATGACTCTCTCAATTATTGACTTATATATGTACCAAGTCAAGTCGTACGATATTTATGCTCCCAAATATTTACCCTCACAAAAAAAACTACTTTTGCCTCTTCCGATTTTTTCTGATGTTTATTGTGTTTTTGAGGAACTATGACTTATACATATAAACGTGGAAAGTTGTTGTTACAATTTATACCTATTTCGCTGACTTTTTTAGTTATTTCTATCAGGCTAGTTTACATATCAAAGTTTCTGCTCACGATTTGTGACAGTCAAGAGTTTACAGGTAAAACATTCAGTCTCTTGTTCTTTCCAAACTCAGTTATATAGTTGCCGAAAATTATGATCAATTGACTTAACAAAGGAAATGAAAATTGATATAATCTGCAATGTCAAGAATCGAAAGTCACGAAGATCTGTATGAACTATAACTTTAGAAACAAAGAGAAATTTTGAATATTTTAGTTGTGTTCGATCTATAATAACCATCACTATTTCAAGTATTTATCTTTCATACCTGATTGGAGTTACTTGTTCACACACATTTATAGTGTTTTATTGTTGTTATTGGTGTCTCTGTCCTATTGTAGCACGGTATTGCATGTTTTTTATTTATGTATGAGCTTAGAAAAGTACTTAACAGAGTTAACTATTAACAGATATACTATGGACAAAGTGGCCTCATAATTCCTATCGTAAGATTATAATACTTTGATGAACAAGTAGAGTAGCACGCACCTCACCAACAAACAGTAACGTGTAAAGTGACATACTGAGAAACATTATGTTTTAACTCAAGATTAACTCATAAAAACCACTACATTAGATGGTGTTGTTATACTCATTTTATCTGTTTAACCAGGTGTTAAACCTGGTAAAACTGTTGAAGTTTTTAACTCTTTTTTTGTAAATTGTTTAAGATATAATTTATTAAGTTGATTAGTGTATAATTCCTGCCTTACAGTTTTAATGGAATCTTTCTATTACTGCTACAGCTGTATCTTCATGTTAAATACGTGCCGGTAAACATTGTTAACGAACAAAATAACGTCTATACTTTGAATTTGCAATTTATAAGAAAATCTTTAAATTCCATTTTAAGGACGAACTATCACTATTTTTTGCTTAAGAGTTTTACATATTTTAAAGTTTGTAAATAACGTTTTGGTTTTTGTATCCACAGAACGAAGCTTAACAACCTTGAAAATAGAAGCCGATTAATGTCAATACACTGTCAGTTGTTGCATCGAGATTTTAAATAAAGATAATTTTGTTCTTACTCGTAAATGAATGAAAATGCTGCATATCTTTACTTATTTTTGATAATTCAAGTACCAAGCTCAATACTTTACAATATAAAACAAATCAGCAAAGGTGATCTTGTTCTTTTTGACATTAAATGTCTTAACATACTTTAGGAGTATGTCTTAACACCCAGTCTGCGAACCAGGTGGGCTACTTAGGAGTGTCACGACTTTATGTATTCAAATTAAAATAAAAGCAAATGTACTCAGGTAAAGAAATAGGTCTGTTAATCTAAAAACAAAAACAAAACACTTTACTACCAAAAGATAGTGTTCGGCCATGAAGATGCAGAGTTTAGTGTGTTGGACGAGTGTGTTCCTCTTGCACAAAATATTAGAAGTATCCACTTCAGGTAGGTACCGCAGTAAGCCAACTTACAGCAGCAAGTAAGCTTCCTTGAGCTATGTTTTGTGTGGGAAATTGGATTAGTGAACAGGTTTTACTCCTTCATAATCTGGACTCTAGAGCGAATTCGGGCACGCTGGTGGACGATTCAGATTCCAGATATCGCAAGGAGTTCAAAATCTTCATGTAGAAGTTTTATTTTAAAACAAAAGAGGTTGCCGGAAAGTTTTGTTTGAAAATCAATCCACCAAAAATATCTTCCTGACTCCTAAACGGGTTGTTAAATTTGAATTTAGTATCAATATATCATTCTATAAAACCCATGCTCCATCGAGAATCTACAAAAACAACACGTACAATTGAGATATGATGCCTCCTCGTCTGTATGGAATAAGGTAAAGTTTACTTTTAAACTTTCTCTTGAGTGGCGGCAGGTTTAAATAGTATCTAAAACTGGCACGTTATTCATTCCTCAGTCTATGGTAGTAGATACTAAACATGTTTTATGACAATAGTTTTATCGTGGATTTTTTCACTTACTAATTATTAGTATTTATTGATTAATACACGGCATATATAACATACACAAATGCGACGTATTATTTATACACTCTTATTTACTTTCACTCAGAGATTCTTATTAATAAAAACTGTTTTCCTAACTTGAAATATATTTATTATCATAATATTTTTCAGGTTCTAATACAATTAAATTACCTGTATGATATTAACCGATGAGTTCTTATCGTCAGGTCCAACCCATTGCTCAATAATGATACCCATGTTATAATCGCCACGAAGTAGACCCAGTAGTTTCTCGATTGGCCACGAGGGTTCGGTCCAGTTACCACTGGTTACTGGCCAACCTTCAAGACTCTTGATGATGTCTTGAAGTGGTTTGTCACCTATAGCATCAATCTGGCCTGAAATGTTTAAATGAGAACTATCCTTTTTAATACAAACTTTAACAGTAAAACAAAGAGAAATAGAGACTAACACTTCTCTGTTTTTCAAAGATTTTCAGAGATAGAGAACAACTCAAATATTTTCAAGGATGGTGTGTGGTGTAAAGTTCATATACAATCCTAATCAATACTGGATCGCATTTGAAAAACAAATAGCTAGTTATCCTCAAATTATCCATAATATACCACAAATTCATATTCGTCGAAACCTCTTATTTTATGAATACTGTATTGCATGTATTCTCTATTTTTATCAGAAACAACCCATTCTGATTTCCAAATTGATTTAATTTTTATTAAATCGATAAATAAAAGTATCAAAGGAGAAATTATTAAGCAGTAGCTAATCAATACTAATTTTAATACAAAATATTACTAAGTTACTTTTAACATTTTGTGCATGTGAATATAATCTGTTTCCATTCTATTGAACGTAAATTTTCGTTTAAAAGAATATTGCACCTTCTTCCGTTTATAACATGTAGTTCAATTTCGTAGTCATTGAATAAAACATAACTGAACACCTGAAAACTCATCTTGCTTTTGATTTTCAGCAATATTAAACATTAAAACTGTTAGGAATCTGCTGACACCTTAATTCAAACTACACAAAAAGAACGTGAAACCATTATCGTTTTAACTAAAAAACACAATACACAATAAACTTAAAGAATTAATAAGAGCGAATATTGTCGTCCAAGAACAATGATATAGTTTATAAATTACCCATCTTAACACAAGACTTGTAGAATGTTTTCGCTTTTACGGTGGCGCTGTTGTCGTAGGGATTTGCTGCTTCTTCCAAAAGACCTAAAATGTTAAAACAACTTCTAAACTTTTAGCCACATAGAGTAATACAATGAAAAATAACTCCATTGGATGTTAAAGCTTAAATAGCATGAAAAAAAAGAGCTTGTAACAGTTAAACTGACGGCCACTTATCAGTTTTCGTCTCAAAATACTATACATTATTAATTGGAATGTATGAGAACTCTATAAAACTAATTATTTTTAGCTTCTAAATATTATTTTCTGTCTCACTACTAATACAGTAAAGCCTATTTCCTGCCTTTACATCTTGAAAATTTACCTTTTAATATGATCTGCAACTGATCAGCCAGCACTTCAAAAGTGCTTATACTACTTTTGTCTTCTGGAATCACGTGGCGTTTGTTCCATGTGCCACAAGCATACTGAAAAAAGTTTTCGCAAGGATCGACTGTCTTGTCCATAGCCAGTAACAAAGAAGCCGCTGAAATTACCAGTAAATGTTATTACCTAGCTTTTTTAGACTGTAGCTCATACAAACACACAAATACACACACGTACATATATTTTTCTCATAAACATCAAGTATTTGTCTTCATGAAAATTAAAGCCTGTTCGCTGTAATAAGAGATCACGTTCAAACTGAACAGGGGTTGTGTTAAGCAACAATTATCTTTGTCAAATCAGAAAGTTTCAGTTATAAATACAAGACTTTATAACCCGAAGATTTCCGTTTTATATCAACATCAACAAACATCTAGATAATCAAAACGTATTTCTCCTGGAACCAGGTTTCAGTTGTGTTATTAGTGTTGAAAGGAAGATTATCGTACGCCATTTTGAAAACAGAAGACTATTAAAACAATTAAGTTGACGATAATCAGACATTTTGAAAGTCGTTATTTCTTCTGTCAAGTTCATTGTGAAACATTATTCCAAATTTAGTTCTTCCAATACAAGGATACTAATTCAAATGTCTCCATGATCGGAATGGAAATAAGTAAACTAAAAAACTAAAAAAAATATCACTTGGTAATAAACGCTAGTAGTATACATTCTAATACACAGTCTAGTATTAAGATAAAATCTTTTTTATTGCCTTTAACTGAAAGAAGCGAAGATAAATAAAGCTCAAATCGTCATCAAAATCGTGAGTGAGAGATAAAAAGTCACTGGCCATGAAGTAAACTTTTTCATTATTGTGAACTGAAAAAAAAAAAGAGAACATGAAGAAAGCTCCAGTCTTTATCAAAATCACGAGTGAGAGGGGCAGTTCTCACGATTAGGACACTCTTGAAAAAACTTTAGAAAGAAGCCATAATGCCAAAGGGTGTTCAACTTAGCTTATGTATCAGTGTTATTATATAATACAGATATAATTCACCAGTGTTTTTTATATAGGAAGGATTTAGAGAGAGAGAGAGAGAGAGAAACAAAAGTGGAAATGTGTGCTGCGTTATAACTACAGATAAAAAAGGGTAGCATCCCAGTTAGCATTGCCATTTATGCGACTATAATGTAAAATGTTTCGTGGTTCATTTCTTCCAAATTTTGAGTTGTTTGACTACACTCGAACTCTAACACTTGACTTTCTACTGTGGCGTATGATATAACCCATTCCGTGTTAGTTTTGTGACTTCTTTATCTATCAACAATAGTTTTAATAGTATTTTATGTATTGTGGACCCTACAGTGACCTTTTCTCTACATCTGATTTTTGGTCAGTCTAACAATACTCTTCTTTTCAGTCCAGTTATTTTTATACTCTGAATCTGGTTCAATATACTCACAGCTCTTTAGTTCTGAATTTTGTTTTGAAGTTATTCTTATCGTATGATCACTGAGGCTACTTCCTAACGTGTGGACTAAATTTTAACTTTGGATACCGGAAATCCATTATCAATGATCAAAAGTCAGTGTCAGATTAAAATTATTCAGTATTCAAATAGTAACTTATTGAAATACATGCATTTTTTTGACATCTATTTTATGTATTCAACACAAACAAATGTTTACATTTTCTTCGGGGAAGTGGGTACTGTTGTGTACATAACAAAGGAATTTCTGCTTATGCAAATAAGATTATCATAAAAAAGTAATTTACAATGTTTGACTACTCTAACTATAAGAGAATGTCAGTTAAATTACGATTATGTTTTAATATTTTGACTTTTTTTACAGTATCGTTTCTAAAAAGTAAAAAAAGAAAAAAAACGACGGAATCTCTTCATCATCTACAATACTGCTAAATTCATAGTTTTGAGTGTTAGAAACTCTGTCTGTAACTGAAAAACTATTTTCATACAGTATTTCATGACATATCAAGATACTTAACTAATATAAGTCGGTTGAAATACGGGGATCAAAGTTCAAGTAATTTGTGTCAGCATAACGAGACAAAACAGTACAGTACTGTAAATATGATATATGACGTGAATTTGAACTATTTAATAAGTGTTTTCATAAATATAACTTTGTTTTATTTTTCCGATACAATCTTCTGTAGTGAGTTAAATGAATTTCATCTGGGGATACTTTGGGGTTATAAAAGTTACTCTGAATGACCATTTTATTATTGGGATTGTCTTATTATTATAAATAATATGAAACCATTGTATACGGAAATTATTTATTATTAGTATTCCTAAAAATATAAAATTAAAAGCTGATTAATATATTAATAAAAAAATTAATAAAAACACTTACGTATATAATAAAATCATAAAGATGTGTGGAGGAGTTAGTGTTTACAGTAATAGAATTATTGTCTTCTACAGAAAACTCATTAGTGAAGTTTACATGAACTTTTATTTTTGAAACTAAACATTTGAAAGATAAAAGGTCACTTTGAAATATAACTTCGTTTGAAACATTCATAATTTCACAAACTTTACATTTTTCCTACCTGTTTTTATGCATGCTGGAGAAAGACAAATATCATCTGGAAGAGACAGAAAAAACAGATAAGACATCTGCTTATCTAATATGAAAGTAGAGCGTTTAATAACGTTTCGGCTAAAATCAACACAACTGCTTGTACGAAGCCAGCTGTAACGAACATCATACTTTAATGAAGAAATATGGAGTGTTTTGCATTCGAATTACATATGAAACGTTTGCCGTTAAATGTAATGAAATATTTACTGCTTATGAATGGAGTATCAATAAAGCCAACCTTTCTTATCAATCTTTGGGTACAGGTTGAAAAAAAAATTCCAGAAAAAGTCGTGTTTCTCTTTCTTTTTTTTACAGACTTTTTAGCTATATTTAAAGCTACACTAATATCTTCGTTTCTTAAATACGTTTGCAAAAATGATAAATTTCAAAGGCTCTTTCGGAATCTGATATGTATTAGATCAAGAATTTTAATTCTCCTATTTAATCAATAACTTCTTAGAAAATCAAATCATCGTTTTGTGATGACTCAAGTACCTCACAATAAACAAGAAACACTAAATATCACCAACTTGTGAGATGATTTACAGATGAAAAAAAATTAGTTTCATCTTTGATGGAAAACCTTTCATCTAAGAGATATAATATGTAGATTTTAATGATCGCCATTGTTAGTTAGAAACATGAGAAGAACATGGCTTTTACATTAACGACAAGCTTTGTAGAACTATTTCTAGTTTCCGACTTACGTCCTTCAAGAATTAATGTGTTAGCCGTTTCTGAGAGTATTTCAGGTTATACTTAACTGTACGATAAACACGTATTAGAATATTTCCAATATGACTAACAGATGTCTTCTATTTATACCTTCACACTAACAGTAGGTTGTACTAACACATACCGTTTGTTAACAGCCAGTTGTATAAACACGTACCGTTTTGTTAACAGTTCATTGTACTAGCACATACTGTTTGTTAACAGCCCATTGTATAAACACGTACCGTTTTGTTAACAGCTCATTGTACTAGCACATACCGTTTGTTAACAGCCCATTGTACAAACACGTACCGTTTTGTTAACAGCTCATTGTACTAGCACATACTGTTTGTTAACAGCCAGTTGTATAAACACGTACCGTTTTGTTAACAGCTCATTGTACTAGCACATACCGTTTGTTAACAGCCAGTTGTATAAACACGTACCGTTTTGTTAACAGTTCATTGTACTAGCACATACTGTTTGTTAACAGCCAGTTGTATAAACACGTACCGTTTTGTTAACAGCTCATTGTACTAGCACATACTGTTTGTTAACAGCCCATTGTATAAACACGTACCGTTTTGTTAACAGCTCATTGTACTAGCACATACCGTTTGTTAACAGCCCATTGTATAAACACGTACCGTTTTCTTAACAGCACATTGTACTAACACATACCGTTTGTTAACAGCCCATTGTATAAACACGTACCGTTTTCTTAACAGCACATTGTACTAACACATACCGTTTGTTAACAGCCCATTGTATAAACACGTACCGTTTTCTTAACAGCACA